GAACATTACTACCTTTCTGATAGAAATAAAAAATATTCAAAGAGAGTACTAAGAACAAATTGATGACATGGGCAAATTTCTAGAAACTCAAAACCTAATAAGACTGAATCATATAAAAAGAAAACTTTTCAATATAGTTAACACTAGTAAGAATCCGTAATAAAAAACACCTCCCAATAAAGAAATTCTTGGACCTGATAGCTACACCAGTAAATTTCTCTTAACATTTTTTTTTTCAATGATAATATTCCTCAAACTATTATAAAAAATTATAGAGAGTGGAAAACATTCCGACTCATAGTTTAAGGTCTACATACCCTAATAGCAAAACCAGAAAATCACACTACATGCGAATTAAACTCCACATCAATGTCCTTATAACCATTGATGTAGAAATCCTCAACAAAATACTAGTAAACCAAATTCAGCAGCATAGTAAAAGGATTATACATTGTGAATAAATGAGACTTATTCCTCAAATGCAAGGATAATCCAACATATAAATCCAATAAATGTAATACACCACATTAACTGAATGAAGACACACATACACACACACACACACACACACACACACACTGTCATCTCAACTAATGCAGAAAAGGCACTCAACAAATTCAGCACTTTTTTTTTATGACAAATTTTAATACACTTTAACATTCAACCAACTAAAAGAAAACTACCATCACATAATATAGACCATATATTAAATGCCCACAGGTAAAACTACACTCAAAGGTGAAAAACTTAAAACTTAAAAAAAAAAATCAGGAACAAGGCAAAGACGCCTGCTTTCATCACCTCTATTAAACATACTACCAGAAGTTGTAGCCAGAGATATCAGGCAAGCAAGCAAGCAAAAAAGAAAGAAATTTAAAAAATATCCAGATTTGAAAGGCAGTAGTAAAGCTATTTTTGCTCACAAATAATATCATCTTATTTGCAGAAAACCTACAGATCACGCACACACACACACACACACACACACAACCATTAAAACTGAAAAATAAATTCAGCAAATTAGAAGAAACAAAGTAAACACACATGAATCAGATGCAGTTGATAATCTAACAACAATCTGAAAAGAAAATTAAGAAAACAACTCTATTTACAATAACATTAAAATGAATAAGATACTTAGCAATTAACTAAACAAGAAAGTAAAAGACATACACTAAAAACTACAAAACATTACTGAAAAAAAATAAAAGATAAATAAATAGAAAGACATCCGTGTTCATGGACTGAAAGGCTTAATATTGTTAAGGAGTCTAACCCATGCAAAGCAAGGCAGAAATTCAATGCTATCCCCAACAAAATCTCAATGTGATTTTTTACAGAAATAGAAAACCCATTCTAAAATGTATTTGGAATCTCAAGAAATTCCAATTAACCAAACCACTTTTGAAAAAAAAAAAAAAAATCCAGATGCCACACCCTTCTTATTTTTGAATTTTACCACAAAGCTACAGGTCAAGTGATTTTTGACAAGATTGCCAAAATATAAATGGTGTCAGAAAAACAGGATATTCATCTGCAAAATACTGAAGTTGGACTTTTATCTAATAATATATGCAAAAATTAACTCAGACAGATTAAATAAATACAATTAAGAGCTAAAACTAGAATATCTTAGAAGAAAATATGGGATGAAATACTCATGATATTAATTTCGACAATGATTTCTTGGATAAAATAGTACAAAGTATAGCCAATAAAAGAGAGATAGACAAATTGAACTTGATCAAAATTAAAAATGTTTGGGCATCAAAGGAAACAACAGAGTAAAAAGGTAATCCATAGATTGGGAGAAAATATTTCAAATCACACATCTAATAAGGAATTAAGCAAAAAAGTGGCACAGAATTGCCAATTTATCCTTCAGTTTCATTTCTGAGATACACAAACGAATTGAAAACAGAGACTCAGATATTGGAACGCCCATGTTCATGGCAGCATTATTCATAAGGGCCAAACAGTGGGAGCGATCCAAATGCACATTGTTGAGTGGATAGATAAACAAAAAAACAATGTAATATATGCATGGAATATTATTCAGTCTTATAAAGGGATGAAATACCGCAGTGTGGATAAACATTGAATAAACTATATTAAGTGAAATAAGCCAGACACACACATACACACAAAAAAAAACAATATTGTTTGATCTTAAATATATGACTCAATACACAGAGACAGGACATAGCACAGTGGTTACTAGGGGCTGAAGGGAGGCTGAATGGGAGTTCTTGTTAAATAGATACAGCTTCAGTTGGGGTGATGACAATTCTGGAGATGGACAGCAATGATAGGTAGATAACAGGGTGAATCTACTCAATGCCACTGAAATGTACCCTTAACAATGTCTGAAATGGTAAATTTTATGTATAGTTAACTACGATTAATGAAACAAAGGAATTGACCATCTAAGTGTAAGACTGTTTCTGGAGTCTTCATAACGTTTCTTTTTCTTTTTTTTTTTTTCTTTTCTTTTTTTATCCTCACCCGAGGACATTTTTCCATTTTTTACTCAGATAGAGCGGGAAGGAGAGAGAGGAAGAGAGAGAAACTTCGATGTGAAAGGGACACATCGAGTGGCCACCACCCACACAACCCAACCAGGGCCGGGGACAAACTGCAGCCAAGGTACATGCCCTTAGCGGGAACCAAACCCGGGTCTCTGTGGACCGCAGGCTGACGCTCTAACCGCTGAGCCAAACCGGCCAGGGTTCATAACGTTTCTTAATTCCTACGCCTATGCTCATGGCAACTTCACGCTGTGCTCATTAACGGAAGTTCTGAAATCAGGAAGTATAAGCACTCTAACTTTGTTCTCTTTAGTCAAGATTGTTTTCGTTATGCTAAATCCTTTGTCCATGTACATTTTTGAAGCCAACTCAGTCTACAGAAATATTTTGGGGTTTTGATTGATATTGGACATTTGGAAAGATGTGAAATGTTTAGTCTTTTATTTATGATCATGCTATATTTCTCTTATTTTCGTTTTTTTGTCATCAGAGTTTTATTTTCAAGGTAGAAGCATTGCACATATTTTGTTAATTTATTCCTAAGAGTATCTTTGATATATTGTGAATTGTATTTCTTCTTTGTTTATTGCAAATTATAGACATACAATTAACTTTGGACATCATCATTTCCAGTAACCTGCTACATTTACATTATTTTATTTTTTGGTAAATGTGTTAGAATTTTCCATGCACATTTTTATGACATCTAACATAAAGCCATTTCACCTCCCCCCCCCCATTGTTATGTTGTATATTTCCATTTCTTGATTTGCTATACAACCAAAACAATATTAACTAGAAATGAGGCAAGTCATGGTCATTGATTTTCTTTCAAACTCAGAGAGTATGTATGCTTAATGTTAAATATAATACCAGTGCGAAGTGGTCATTAGATGCTTATCAGATTAAGGGAAGTTTCATCTCATTCAATTTGCAGAAAGTGTTTCATATAAATGTCAAATTTTGTCAAATGATTTTTTTGCATTTGCTGGCATTATCATGGGATATTTCTCCTTAATTCTACCCATGTTCTCCCCAGCACTCTTTTCAAAAGAGAGATGAGATGTATGTATATTGGTTATTTCAACTGCCAAATTTAAAAGCAATGACAGTATTTCAGTGTTGAAATACTGTATTTTATAAATTAATTTTTTTCTGATCTAGGACCTGTGTAATATATTTATTCTAGAATTATATAATTTATATTTATTTAGTAAAAATAAAAAGAAAGAAAGGGAGTACGGAAGGAAGGAGGGAAGGAAGGAAGGAAGGAAGGAAGGAAGGAAGGAAGGAAGGAAGGAAGGAAGGAAGGAAGGGACCCAGCACTATTCCTTCGTTAACTGAAAGAAAGAATAACCCCGTGGGATCAATTTAATCTAACTTGACAGCAAGACCCATAATTCAGGAAGATTTAAATGGCTTGTGACAGAAGAATAGTTAACAGTTTACAAAAAGGCCATTATCTTTAGTCAGTGAGGGCCAATTGATTTAGAACCTGGTGTGACTCTCACAGGAAGTTAGGGAGAAGTGAGGTGGGCACATCAGCATTACTTACCACCAACAAAACACTCCCCTGCACGTCCATTAATAAACTGGAAAGTAAATCTTCAAGTTAACTAGCTACACATGTCTGAGGAATCCAGGAAGACAACTGCTGGATACTTGTTATAATTTTCTTCTGAGATCACATTTGGCAACAAAGTTATATCTTTAATGTCATTACACAATAAATGATAAATTCTAAAACCTGTCCTGTTTTATAGTAAAATTGTTTTTGTTGAAGTTAATTTAACTTCACCTAGGGATACCTTCCACAGTGGACCTCAGTGCTAGTCAGCAGACCAACCAGTGTGATGGGTGATTCATGGCTCTTTCTGGGGCTGGATTAGCAGCAGGGTAAGATGCCAGCTGGTTGAGGCATTGGATGGAATTTACAGCTCTCTGACGTAATTCTGTCCAAGTCCACAACATTATTCATGTATAACCCCCTCGTGCAAAGCATGGACACTGAGTTCAGTGCCCACTGCCTAAAGCCTCATGCTTCCCAGATGCCACAAATTGAGGTTCATCTTCACACCACTTCCAGAGTCAGTGTGGTGCAAGACAAGAAGGGCAGGAGAAAATGCCCCGCCGTGCACTGTTACAATAGCCACGCACGAGTCCAAGTGAGTCCCGCGTGTGAACAGGTAGAATGCACTCTGTCAGGATCAGAAAATACAGGTCGTCACTCCAGTCAAATAAAACAAGTAGAATCAAGGAGACGCCAGACTGAAGAGCCTCTGAATGTGTGGCTTTGGACCCAGTATGGGAACTTATACAAGGACCCTGCTCTCTTAATAATGTAAACAAAAATTACATGCAGGATGATTGGATAGGCTCTAAAGTAAAATTAAAAAGAATTGATTATTTTCTGTGCATAAACATTTTAATGAACAAAAACAAAAATATTCAATGGAAGGAAAAACTACTTACACCGGAATAGAAAGGCTCGCCGGACACGCAGACCACGTCCTGCTCCTGGATCATCAGAATGTCTTTGGCCAGGTGCAGCCGGACTTTGAAAGGCTCCTGATTACCATCCTGCAGCAAACAAATCCCTGTCTTTGTCTTCGGATAAAAAAGGAAAAAACAAGTCAGAAAAAAATATTATACTTGGCTTGTAAATTGTAATTGTATGGTTTATTTACTGTGAAACATGATGAATGAATGGAATTTAAGAGCTCGGCAAAATACACTGTGATGAGTCCGAAACTTGCTACTTAATGTAAGTGTGGAGACAAGGGTAACTGTTTAGTGTAAAGTTGTCCCCAGGTCCTACATGATGGAGCTATGTCAGAAAATCCCCATAAAGATACAGAGAGTGAGGAGTATAGGTTTTATACTATATTTGAAAACTAGTGAAATTTTTGTTTAATATATAACTAATTATAAAAATTTTGTAATATCTTTATTATGTTATGATTTACATTCTATACAATTCAACTCTCAAATTGTACAATATTTTTGCACATTAAAAGTTATATAGCCATCCCTATTATCAATTTTAGAACATTTTCATTACTCCAAAAAGAAATGTATCACCACCATTTCACTGGCCCTTTCCTCAGGCCTGGGGAGCCACTAATCTACTTTCTGTCTCTATCATGGAATTTTAAATCAGAAAACATACCAACCCAACATCTTCTCTAATCTCCACTAATCCTGTCTAGCCACCAACACACATACACACACACAGAAAAGGGAACAAGGATGCAGAATCGCCTACATTAATACAGGTCATGAAAAACAGAGCCTGGTTTCAGACCCAGGATTCTTGATTCCCAATCCACTGCTTTGGTGCACACTTTTTAGGTCATTTAAAAGAGCTCATGACGATATCCAAACTTGCACTACACAGCTTTACACCCCAGTTTAGAATCACTGAGGAAGTCCGAAGTCCTGAAGCTGGTGTTATAACATTTATGCAGGTAAGTAACCAGATTCTCCCTGGCAAGGTCACCTGCATCCCCGAAAGAGTTCTAAGGATCACGAAAGTGAGTCCCACGTACTAAAGACAATAAGGGCAGCTGCAAAAGGCTGAACCTTAATGCGTTCCCACAATCATGCCTGAAGCTCTGCAAACGAGCTCAGGCCTCCTACGCTGCAAACGGGGAGCCTGAAGGAGCAGTTGCACGGCTGACCCTCTGGAAACATTCTTACTAAGAACAGTAGTGAACAGACAAGAGACTATGTTATTCAAATAAAGGGCTCAAGGAAAGAATAAGGAACAAAGTCCAATAAAGCTGCTAAGTAAGCAGGGCAGGTTGCCAAACTTTTGCCTTTCAAAATAAACTGCTGCAAGCACTAGGGGCTGCAGCCATGTCCTGTCAGTGTGTGTATTGTCTCCTGTGTGTCTTGTGTTCTGTGTGTCTTGTGTTCTGTGTTCATTCCCTTTTTCAACTTATAAAGGAACCACAACAATCCCATTTGGCAGAAACATAAAATGAAGTGTTTTGAGACAGAATATAGTCTCCGGTTGTTATTCTGCACCAAATCAACAGGAACAACAACTACTTTGGCAATTACATTTTTATTTAATAATCATTGAATTATTAATTTAGATAAGGGGATACATGCAGAGAAATGCCTATAAATTCTTAGTATTTAATTAGCACAAAATCCCATGCAAATAATACCAGGCTTTCTCTTGAAAGGTACATGTAATGTGAATTACTAGAAGTTTGTTTCTTTAAAAGAATGCTTCATAATCTTGACAAGAATACATTTAGACAAAGCAGCCTCCAGAGATAATTCTCTCTGTAAACTGCTCTATACCGTGCACGAATACATACATATACCCTCTATCACATGTAAGGTTATATTACTCTGTAATTATTTTGTAAGGGTTATGAGCTACTTTAGGACAACCAAGCTTTTTTAGGAGCAAGGATGATGTTCTTTCCCCCTCTGTGAGATGGGTACATAGCAGGAACTCACTGCACAGTGTTAATTAATTTATTCTGAAGCATAACTCCAGTGGACATGTCTAGAGGATGATGACATTTTAGTTAAAACAAATTCCATTTTTCTAAATACAGAACATAATTTTCTATGTTGTACACAGGAAAAAGTCTCTCATGCTTACAATGTGCTCTGGACCAGAAGCCAACATTAGGACTCTTCAAGGTTCCCCAGGGAAGAGAAAGCATCAAATAACATCAAAGCCATGTGCACATAATTGAGCACATTTGTTTTCAATGTACAGTACAATCGGGCCATCCCCCCAGAAATGTAACGGAAGAAATGGTATTCACAAACAACGCCCTGTCTCAACTTGAGGATGAGAGAGGGGCTTTTCCCTGAGAGTCCATAAATACATTATTGTTACACATCAAAGACGTGTAAGGAATCACCCAGGGAAAGTGTGAGGGGCTAAAATAGTACGAGGCTTCTCTCATCGCATTCCCAATGCAGGCAAAGTCCATTCACACAACAGTCAAATAATGTGTGAACTGTCCCCTGGTTATTAGACAGTTGCAAAATTCAGGAAAACAAAATTCAGAATTTGAACTTTGCTTCAGTCCTGAGAAAATGAGAGAATGAGGCAGTTTTGCTATAATAATATATACGTTATAGTATTCAGTTCTTCTGAGAGGTTTATAAACAAATAACTATAAGGTAAAAAGCATAAGCATTAAAAATATGAAAGCAATTTATTAATTTTCTGAAAGAACTTAGACTCTAAGTCATGAATAAACTGTGATAATTTTTTTAACAGAAGATATTTTTGCAAGAATGTTAACATGTGACATTTCATTCAAGAAAAAAATCTTCACATATGTGAATAACTGAAGCTTTTGTTGGTTTGTTTTTAACTCTATGACCTAGTTATGATTGCTTTTCTTGGGTTATTTATACAAAACAAAACAGTTTAAACCTTTTAGGAAAATGTGTGAAATATTTTAATCTACGAATGTTGGCATTTTACCTGAAGAATGAAAAGACAATGCTTTGAATGTTCCTTGTTCAGGAAAATGATAGTCTTTCTTCCTAAAGTGGAAGAATGGCATTCCCTGGGGAAGAGTCCATGGCTTTTGCCTGCACACTTGAATGGCCTGTAATACCCTTGGAAGAGGAATGTATCACTAACTCACACTGACGTGTGAGACAGTTACCCAGAGAATCTGAATTAAATTATATTGATACCTATATAATACTGAGTCATAAACTCCTAGAACTCTAGTGCTAAAAGGGATCTTCGATGTCTTCTAATTTATAACCATTTATGTGAAAGAATTACTCCCAGCACTTCCACTACCTGAAATCATGCACCGCATGGAGTATGGAGCAGGACAATTTCATAACACTGAATACGTGCCTGTCTTCTTAAAGGAAGAGTGGGTGTCTGCGGCTCCCCGGCTGCGCTCTTTGGATTCCTAGTCTTGCAGAAGCAGATCCTACTCTGGAAATACAATAAGCCCTCCCCTGTCCCTGCACTAAAGGCAATGTTCCACTTGTACCAAGGAAAGCCAAGTGTTTCCTGTTTCATTTATTTATTTTTGTTACAGATGTTTCTCCTTTTCCCCCATTGACACCCTCCTCCCCATCCCCAGCTTTGTTGTCTATGTGGGTTGGTAATACGTACATGCATATAAGTTCTGTGGTTTATCTCCCCGCCCCCACCCCCCGCCACCCCCTCTTCTGAGATTTGTCCGTCTGTACCCTACTTCTATGTCTCTGGGTCTATTTTTAAAGTTTGAAAAGCACAGAGCCATTTACCTACCTCCTCACAGGCAGTCCTGAAATCCATGTGCTATGGCACCGCAAAGGATTTCGTCTGGAGAGAGAGAAAGGGGAAGCCATTGAGCACAGCAAGAGTTTGAGAAGAACCTCGCAGCGTGCAAAGGATCATGAGCGGGTTCTGTGGGCAGACTGTACTTTCGGTTACCTGCGAGGAACAAGAGCTCCGGGGCACAAAGAAGAGATGGGAAGGACCGAAAGCCTGAATCCTGCTGGAGTGGAGGAGAAACACGCGCCATGGTTAGGGTGACGGAGAAGCAGCGTTTCCCTGCCCCACTCTGCCTTCAGACACGATCTGCAGATGTCACCTATTCGCTCACGTGTCGCTCTGCTCAGCATGCCTTCCGAGACCTCAGTGAGCAACTGGGGCCGCCACTTCAAGAGGAGTAATGAAAAGTTGACTTTTCATGAGATTATCTCTTGAAAAAAGGTTGACTCATCTTCACTTTTTAATTAAAAAGTTACATGCATGGAAAATTCTCCCTAGAACTTAAAATTTTATTCACAAACAGTATGATGTAAGGAAAAAAAAAAGTATTTATCAGAATGAATAACACAAAGATAATATTAAGATAATTAATGTGTAAAATACATAATACAGATTCATTTTATGGTCACTACAGTACCTAAATTGTGGACATAAACTTAAATGTATAAAAATACATTTAAAGTTTTTTTAATGCTGTTAGAGTTTTAATAATATGATAGCTTAATAAAGCTAAAAGTTACAGAAAATTGACATTCTAACACTACAGAACTGCAGAGTGCAGAGCCGAAATAAAATGACTCAGGTAAACAAGACTTCAAAGTAAAAGCTATGGTGAATTACAAAAGAGAAACCTTTCTAGTCCTGCAAAGTACAGTACTCCCCCTCTCAGTATTTGCAACAGTAAAGGATTTTGTCTTTCTTTATCATTTCCTTTTGTATGACATTAATGAGTAAGTATGTGTGGGTGAAACAGAATAAGACATCCGATTATGTTGCCGTTGGATTATTACCATCAACTTTGAAAGAGACTGACCATTTATCACAGTAACTGAACCTGCCACACGATCTATGGAGTATTTTCCCTAAATCAGTGCCAGAGTTCACCAGCTGGTTTTGTTTTATTACAGTGCATAAGGAGGCCGATTATAGCAAAGTCAGAAAATGAGCCACTAGCAAATAAAAGGGCACACTGATGATAAACATCATTATTTGATTATATAAATGACTTCATTTTATGGTAGCCATATGAAAATTTTCATTAGTTTAAAAATTATTTTTCAAAATTATTCTTAAAGATTGCATTTGAAGAAACTATAAATATTTGCTCTTCTACAACTTTGACTTTTTTTTTACTATACAGGTATAATTTCAGTATTAAGTGATTATATAAAATCATATATATGATATCTCTAGAATCAATTTTCTGCTACTAAAAACAATCAAAGGACTAGAAAGATATTTAACCCACCTATCAAAAATTAATATCACATTTGTTTTTATATACTGATTTCAATATTAGTGCATACATTTTAAGATGTTATTTTTAATAACGTGACACATTTGAGTAGGGGCTGTTTCTCTATCTCCTACCACTTTTAACATAGACTATTTTATTTCTTAATCTGCTATTATTTTTCATCTAAATATTAGATAATAATATCAGGTGTTAATTCAGAAAAATAATTAGTATGAGATTCAAAATAACTTAATTACTAGATAATATAAAAATTATATAGCTGTAAAACTATTTTCAGTGATTATTAATTTAAAAACAAATAAATAATGTTCAAATTTTTTATTTTTAAAATTTTATTTTATGGGGTGACATGTGTTAATAAATCCCATAGGTTTCAGGCGACCACTGGTCACATCTTCTCCACCACCATTTACCCCTTTGCTTCTCCTCCCCCACCTCTGACAATCCCCATGCTATTGTCAGAGTCCATGAGTCTTTCTCCTTTTTCTTTGCTTAATCCTTTCACCCTTCTCTCCCAGCCCTCAACCCCCTCCCCCATGAGAGCTGTCAGTCTGTTCTTTGTATCTACGAGTCTCTCTTCATTTTGTTCGTTTATTTTTTTCATTAGATGCCCAATATAAGTGAAATCATATGGTGCTAGTCTTTTTCTGACTGGCTTATTTCACTTAGTATAACACTCTCCAGGTCCATCCACAATGTGCTAAGGACAAGACTTCCTTCCTTTTTATGGCTGAGTAGTATTCCATTGTGTAAGAGTAGCATATCTTCTTTCAAAAAATTTTTCTGCCCTGGCCAGTTTGGCTCAGCGGTTAGAGTGTCGGCCTGTGGTCTGGAGAGACCCGGGTTCGGTTCCCGCTAAGGGCACGTACTTCGGTTGCAGTTTGTCCCCGGCCCTGGTTGGTTATGCGGGTGGCAGCCACTCGATGTGTCCCTTCACGTCGATGTTTCTCTCTCTCTCTCCCTTCCTCTCTCTCCCTCCCACGCTATCTGTACCAAAAAAAAAAAAAAAATTTTTTCTGAGACTCTTTTGTATATACTTTTATCTTGAAACTTTTTAGATTTACAGAAATGTGTAAAAATATCACAGAGAGTCTTTGTATAACTCCCATTTTTTTCCCTCTATTATTAACAACTTACATTAGCATGACACATTTGTAAAATTTAGTGAACCAACATTGTTACATTAGATGGGCAACAACATAAAGACACCTGTGTCCCATGTGAATGCACACCAAGGGTTGGGTTAGGCAGAGGCGAAATTAAAACATCAAATGAAGTAAATGAACTGCTCTGTGGTTCCAGTCAGCCCCTTCCCCATCCACTCCTGTCACTGTTCAGTGGGCAAATAAATAAGGAGGCATTTAAGACAGGGATGGGGGCTATTCATGGGCCCAGTCACGTAGACTGCACACACTAAGGCCAACCCGGCTCTGGTTGCTGCCCACAGCAGAGACTAACACTGAATCTGACCTACCACTATTCCCTGGGATGGTTAGCCAACTCCCTGGTGCCAGGTTGATTATAATGAATTACTTCCATGTTGGAAAGGGCAATATTTTGTTCTTATGGGACTAAACACTTTGGGTGCTGATTTGCCTTCCCATATGCAATGTTTTTACCCAGGGCTCTAGGGAGAGGCAGCAACCCCTCCCTCAGAGATTCAACCCCACCCCGTGGGCCATTAAAATGCAAATTGAGGCTCACTAACAACCAGCATCTGCCCCACCCTTGGGAAATCCCTCACTCTGGAAACCTGAGGGAGTTTTTCAATCAACTGACAACCCAAATCTCTACAAGTAACCTCAACTGCTAGACTCCAGGCAAAAAGCTAGAGGATAACAGTACCATCCCTGGGCTAGCAACTCTAACCAGGAAAGTAAGACTTGACAGTGGTGTTTATTGTGGGTCCTCCATTGCTCATTCACCCAGTAGAGGGAGCCACAAACAGCAGAACACCAACACCCATAGAGAAAACTTGGCAGGCTCCAAAGCTCAGCCAATTGGTGAAACACAGAAACAAAAGCCAAATTAAAAAACAAAAGACCTTCACTGAAGGTGAGATCAATGTGGAGCAGTTAGGCAAGTTAACAGAGCTAGAATTCAGAGCCATGATCTTGAGGAAGCACAACAGCATGAGTAAGGACATAGAGATGCTGAAAATCAACCAATTGGAAATTAAAAACCACCAAGAAGAGATCAAGAATGACATATCAGAAATAAAGAACACATTGGAAGGTCTAAACAGCAGAGTACAGGACGCTGAGGACGGGATCAGTGAATTAGAAGACAGGGTAGAAAAAATTAACCAATCAGAAAACCAAAAAAAAAAAAAAAAAAAGCAATTAAAAAACAGGAAGACATCTTAAGAGAACTGTGGGACAACTGGAAATATAATAATATTTGCATCATAAGAGTCCCCCAAAAAGAAGAAAATAAACAAGCATTAGAGAATATATTTGAAGAAATTGTGACAGAAAACTTCCCTAATTTGGTGAAGGAAGAAGGCATTCAAGTTCAAGAAGCACAGAGAGCCCCAGTTAAGAAGAACCCAAACAGGGCCACATCAAGACACATAGTAATTAAAATGCCAAAAATTAGAAACAGAGAATCCTAAAAGCAGCAAGAGATAAGAAACAGGTTACCTACAAAGGAAACCCCATAAAGCTTTCAGCTGACTTCTCACAAGAAACACTACAGGCCAGAAGGAAATGGCATGAAGTAATCAAGATCATGAAAAACAAGGATCTGAATCCAAGACTACTAGAGTACCCAGCAAGGCTATCATTCAAAATAAAAGGTCAAATGAAGAACTTCCCAGACAAAAAAAAAAGGCTAAGGGAATACATTAGCACCAACACAGCACTGCAAGAAATGTTAAAAGGACTGTTGTAATTAGTAGAAGAAATAGGAAGAAAAATATGAACACAGTAAAAAAAAAAAAAAAAAAAAAATGGCAATAAATAAGTACATATCAATAATCACCTTAAATGTAAATGGACTGAATACTCCGATTAAAAGACACAGAGTAGCTGATTGGATAAGAAAGCATGGCTCATCTATATGTTGTTTACAAGAGACCCACCTCACAACAAAAGACTCACATAGATTGAAAGTGAAGAGATGGAAAAAAAACTTGTCCACGCAAACGAAAAGGAAAAAAAAGCTGGGGTAGCAATACTTATATCTGATAAAGTAGATTTCAAAATAAAGACCATAACTAGAGACAAAGAAGGCCACTACATAATATTGAAAGGATCTATCCAACGGGAAGATATAACCTTGATAAACATATATGCACCCAATACAGGAGCACCAAAATATACTAAAAATTTTCTGGAGGACTTCCAAGGAGAAATTGACAGCAATACAATTATAGCAGGGGACTTCAACACCCCGCTGACATCACTGGATAGATCCTCTAGACAAAAAATTAGCAAGGAAACGGAAACTCTAAATGAAGTACTAGACCAAATGGATTTAATAGATATCTACAGAGAATTACACCCCAAAACTACAGAATTCACATTCTTCTCAAGTGCACATGGGACATTCTCAAAAATAGACCACATGT